GCTGTTCCAAGCCTACAAGAATTAGTTTGCACCCTCTCAAGTGTAACAAAGCCTTAGAAATACTCATTTACCTATGGTAAACAGCAATTGGTGGCATTAAATAAGCAGATTCAAATAACTAACTGCAAAATTATTCAAATAACCAACTGCAAAATACAGGATGTGTGGATGGAGGTGAAGAAATAGGGGTGACAAAAAGATGGTACTAGACAACAGTTCATAGGGAGAAAATGTGGGGGCTGTGAGCTGCACAGGTCATTAGTGAAAGAAGCCAGCCAAAATGGTTAATGAAATGTTGTTTTATTAATAGCCCGGACACACAAGTTAATTGTTGCACTGATCTAGCAGACAGAGCACTAGTCCTGGAGTCAGGAAGCCCTGAGTTCAAAACTCACCTCAGACATTTGTTAGCTGTCTGAACCTGGGCAAGTCACTTAACCTCTGCTTGCCGCAGTTTCCTCAGCTGTAAAGTGAGAATAACAATAGCACCTACTGCACAGAGTTGTTGTGAGTATCAAATGAGATCATACTCGTCCAAAAGAGCCCAGCACAGTGCCTGGCAAAGAGAAGGTGCTTTCTCAATGCTTACCCTCTTCCTTTTCTCACCTTACCCCCATCCCCTCTCAATCCCACCCCCTTCCTTACACTTACTAGATGTGATATCTGGCAAGTGCTTTAGTGTCTCTGAGCCTGTGTCATCATCTGACTCGGACTGCCTACTCCCTCACTGGTTACTGGGAGGAAAATGCCCTGAAAGCCTTAAAGCCCAGTGAGCAAGCATTCCTCTCACTAGAAATGTAACATTCCAAAAGAGGCAAGTCCCTACTATGCCCTCACCCACTTCTGAAGAACAGGTGGGTTTGTATTCAGTCCCAACAACGAGGGTTTAAGAGTGCGGCAAGCCAAAGAAATATGTGGTTCTAGAATGGTTCTGAGCATGGCTGTGAAGACCAATACCACTCTCCCCAACCTCAACAGATCTAAAATATGCCCCAGACCAAATCCTGAAAAAGTCACAGAGTCCTTTTTCCAGAACAGCTCAACATGGGCCAACAGACAGAAAGGTCTGTGGACACTGGGGATCGGTCAGGCCAGAGGCATGTCATTTTGTGAAGCTCTCCGGTGCCCCAGGAGAGGCTGTGAACCAGGGCGACAGGAGACCCCAGGCCCATAACAGAGCACCTCCGGACCAATACAAGGGCACAGCAATGGGAACAGGTAGAAGTTGGCAGCTTCTTAGCCACTTAGCTAAGGAGTTCAGGGCAAGGGGTCCTGGGCAGTACATACAAAGAAAGGAGGAAATTTAGAAGCTGCTTGCCAGAAAGACAGCATTCAAGTACTGAGGAGCCACAGCCAGGATCACCTATGATTTAGCAGTCACCACTACAAAGGAGCAGAGAACTTGGACTATGATATTCCAGAAGGCAAGGGACATAGGCTTAGGGGGCAAGAATAAATTACCCAGCAAAGTCTGGCCCTAGGGGGGAAAAATGAACCTTTCATGAAATAGAAGACTCCCAAGCAATCCTAATGAAAAGACCCGAGCTGCATAGAAACTCTGAAGTTCAATCACTGGGGTGAAGAGAAGACATAAAAAGGTCAACACAGATAAACAATCCTAAGGGACTAAACAAGGATAAATTGCTTACATTTAAATATGGGCAGAGGATCCATATGCCCCCTCTGAACCCTATCATCCTCAGGGGTCATAGAGGGAGTCTAATTAAACGAGGCCTGACAGCAGTTCTGTCAGGTCTTTATGATCTTGAGAGAAGAATATAAAGAAAGGGGAGGAGAGAGGGAAAATTCTCTCCCATAATCAGGGTGCAGAAGGTGTCTATATAAACAAGGAGTTGTGGGGAACAGCTGACACTTGAATCTCACTCTCATCTGAACTAATCAAAGGAGGAAAGAAGGCACAGAACAGGCTACAGAAACTCATTTTACTCAACAGCAAAATGGGGGGAAAGGGGAAAAGGGAGAATTAGAAGGAGGATGGATCAAGGAAGGGATTAGTCCCTAAGCATATAAACTCTAGTTAAAATAAGGATGAACAAAAATATTTATAACTCTTTGAGTTGACAAAGAACGGGAATGAGAAGGTTCCATCAACCGGGGAAAAGAAGAACAAGTCATGGTAAATAAATGTGATGAAATATTACCATTTGAACTCTTAATCAACATGATGACCAACCAGGATTCCAGAGGACTAATGTTAAAATGTGTTCCCACCTCCTGATAGAGGTAAAAGCATGCATAATGCAGACAATTTTTTGTGTGAGATGTAGAAATTGGGGGGGGGGGGGGTGTTTTTTTTAATCGACTGTACTTGTTTGTAATAGGTTTTGGTTTTCTTGTGTTCTCAATGGTGGGAAAGGGGGACAGAAGTGGGGTAAGATGGTGGGAGGGAGGGAGGGAAGGAAGGAAGGAAGGAAGGAAGGAAGGAAGGAAGGAAGGAAGGA